GAGGCTTCAGCAGCAATACGCTCAAAAATGTCGTTCACAAAGCTATTCATGATGCTCATGGCCTTTGACGAGATTCCAGTGTCAGGATGGACCTGCTTTAGCACTTTGTAAATGTAGATGGCGTAGCTTTCCTTCCTCTTACGCTTCTTCTTCTTATCATTCTTGGTAATATTCTTCTGGGCTTTGCCAGCCTTTTTGGCTGCCTTTCCACTTGTCTTAGGCGGCATGATTGTTATTATCCACTCAAGTTCACTTTAACTCACTTCACAAATGTTTGACAGAAGCACACAAATTGCTTAACATTTATAGGTTTTTTTTGTACAACGTTTTCATGTTTGCGAACAGCACAACTCACCCTCGTTTACCTGAAAAAGTAGGTAGTGAAAAAAGTATAAGTTGTCATATTGTTGAGAGGGCTGGGCATTCGATACTTGTTTGTGCAGTGTTAAAGTGAAAAAAAAAAGAATTTAAGAAATGTCTGGCCGTGGTAAAGGTGGAAAAGTTAAGGGAAAGGCAAAGTCGCGTTCGAACCGCGCTGGCCTTCAGTTCCCCGTTGGTCGTATTCACCGTCTTCTTCGCAAAGGCAACTATGCCGAGCGTGTTGGTGCCGGTGCTCCAGTGTACTTGGCGGCTGTTATGGAATACTTGGCCGCTGAAGTTTTGGAGTTGGCTGGTAATGCAGCCCGCGATAACAAGAAAACCAGAATTATCCCTCGCCATCTGCAATTGGCCATCCGCAACGATGAGGAGTTGAATAAACTGCTTTCAGGCGTCACTATTGCCCAGGGCGGTGTGTTGCCTAACATCCAAGCAGTTTTGTTGCCCAAGAAGACCGAAAAGAAGGCTTAAATTACTAATAACGAATTTACGCAAATCGAAACCAAACGTCCTTTTCAGGACGACCAATTTATACAAAAGAGATGACTTTTTTCATACGTAAACATTCTAAATAATATGTATATAATAAGAATAAATAAAGGGAAAATTTACAGATGGTAGACGCTGAGAAAAGTACAGTCATCGCCATTCATTTAGTCATTTAGTGTTTCTGTTCCATATTCCAAAGGTTTCAAATATGTTGAGCTGAAATATTGCTAATATTGCTGATATGTAAACTATAAATTTGGCAATGTACCCTTGAAATACACGCGAGTTTTCACCGCAGCTTAGCTAAGATTTCTGTAACATCGAATTCTTATTCGAATATGAAATATGCACAATACTTCTTTTTGATAGCTTCAAATTTTTCATAAATGTCGAAACCAAATGGTTTAACTAGACGGAATTAATTCAATTTCTCGATCATTTCGTAGCCAATACTGAACATCAGCTAAATATATGCCCAATACCGATTTGGTTTGCGAAAAATGTATATTGAATTTTATATTTTCAAGCTCTTTTAGGGAAACATGTTGGTGGTCCTGAAAAGGACCGATTGGTGCGAGTGTAAGTTGCTTTTTATACTTTCTTCTTTCCTAACCGCCAAAGCCGTACAGTGTGCGACCTTGCCTTTTCAGCGCATAGACAACATCCATGGCTGTGACTGTCTTCCTCTTGGCGTGTTCGGTGTATGTGACAGCATCACGAATAACATTTTCCAAAAAGACCTTAAGAACGCCACGAGTCTCTTCATAGATAAGTCCAGAGATTCGCTTCACGCCACCACGACGAGCTAAACGACGGATAGCTGGCTTCGTGATACCCTGGATATTATCACGCAACACTTTGCGATGACGCTTTGCACCTCCTTTACCCAAGCCTTTGCCACCTTTACCACGACCAGTCATTTTTCACTTTTTACTTTTTAATGAACACTTCACGAATGTCAGAAACAAACTAATGTCTGCATCGTTACATCCACTTCTATTTATACCGAGAAACCCGAAAACACGAGGGAGCACACAAATGCTTGCATCCCTCTCACACACTACCCTCTCAACTTGTAGAGTAGAGCGCATAGCATTTAACATGAGTAACGAATATGTCTATCTCTTTCTAACTCACCACCAGTTTTCTATATAAGCGATGCGTAAGCGAGCATCTCGATTATTGTGTTTTTAACAGTGACAGTGTAAAGTAAGAATTGTGAAAGAGAGAAAAAAATGGCTCGTACAAAGCAGACCGCTCGCAAATCAACTGGAGGCAAGGCTCCTCGCAAGCAGTTGGCCACTAAGGCAGCACGTAAAAGTGCACCAGCTACTGGCGGTGTCAAGAAACCTCATCGCTATCGCCCTGGCACTGTTGCTCTGCGTGAAATTCGTCGCTACCAGAAGAGCACTGAATTGCTTATTCGCAAGTTGCCGTTCCAGCGTCTAGTGCGTGAAATCGCTCAAGACTTCAAGACTGACCTTCGTTTCCAGAGCTCAGCTGTGATGGCACTCCAGGAAGCTAGCGAAGCCTATTTGGTTGGCCTATTCGAAGATACAAACTTGTGTGCCATCCATGCTAAGCGTGTCACAATCATGCCCAAGGACATTCAACTGGCCAGACGTATTCGCGGCGAGCGCGCTTAAATTTCTTCTCTCTGCCTTGTACATATACAAATCGCACCCAACAAATCGGTCCTTTTCAGGACCACAATATTTATAACAAGGAGATTCCTATTTTCGTTTAAACGACAATCATTTTGAATTTGAGTTGATATAAAAATAAAGGAAACGAGTATATAGGTTTATATTTACATAATAAAATGTAGGTTAGAGCAATATTGAAGGTACACGCGTTAACTAGTCCTAGTCCTAGTCAAGTAATTGAGTAAGGATCTCAATATATTTTTGTTAAAGGGAAACGTTTCTTGCTTAACAAAAAAATGTGTATTTTTAAAGCGAATATCGAATGTGAACGTATCTATCGTTAATGTGTGATACGTTTGATGTAACTTAAGATAATATATTTCTTTTCTGAGATTTTCCTTTTATTTTTATAAGCACTTCCTATTGAAGATAAAACTATATTAGTTTTTAAACATTTTAGCATTCTTCTTAATAAAATAAAGTGGCTTAGATGAAAAAATATTTTATCACTGTATTTCTTGGTGAGGGAGAAGTGTATATCGCATTATATATATAATATTACGATATGAAATGACTATATGTTTGATGCAAGTAAAGAAAATAAAACATTTTTCTTCTAATATTATCTTTATTAACATATATTTATTGTTAAGGAGAAGATTTTATTTTTACAAACCATTTTTGTATTGCGTTGCCTCGAATGCAAGTCTGCTTTCAACACCAAATGGGTTAGTTAAAATCGCATTTAAAAGATAAAGATATAAGGAATGTTCATATTAATAGTTGAATTTAACAAAAAAATTAATGAATTATTATCTGTCAACATAATTTGTTAACATTTTCATTATTATTTAATTAAAAATGCGATTTTTCCAAGATATCTTATTTTGCTATCATACAAAGTCAAACTTTAGATGGCAATTAAAAATCGTTAAATCATATTTAACAAACTGAAAACTTATTTTTTCAATTTTTCAAACATTTTGGAATATGTTCAATAAACTATTTAGTTTAAATTCCATGTATAAACTGTTTAAAAAGACAAATCAATAAAATGGTAATTGTAAACTTCTGTGTAACGAACGTTCAATACCAAAAACATTCTCGCGTAGCCTTCCTCCTCGATTCTCACTGAAACGGGTGACCAAAATGCCATGCCGCAGCTGGCAAATTTCGATTAAACAAAAACGTTGCATTTGTTTTTATAGTGAAGAAGTAAAGAAGTGCTGAATAAAAATGTCTGATTCCGTTGTTGCAGTATCTGCGTCTCCCGTGACTCCCCAAACAGCCTCAGCTGAGAAGAAGGTAGCTGCTAAAAAGCCAGCATCCGCATCCGCATCGAAGGCAAAGAAAACAACGGCTCCTCCAACACACCCACCAACTCAGCAGATGGTGGACGCATCGATACAAAATTTAAAGGAACGTGGTGGCTCATCCCTTTTGGCTATAAAGAAATATATCAGTGCCACTTACAAGTGCGATGCCCAAAAACTAGCCCCATTCATTAAGAAGTACCTGAAGAATTCAGTTGCGAATGGAAAGTTGATTCAAACAAAGGGCAAGGGTGCATCTGGTTCGTTTAAGTTGTCTGCATCTTCCAAAAAGGAGCCTAAGCCTAAGGTGTCCTCTGTAGAGAAGAAATCCAAGAAGGTAACTTCGTCGGCAGCAGCAGCTAAAAAGAAAACTATATCTGCTACCAAGAAACCAAAGGGTGTCGCTGATAAGAAGTTGTCGAAGGCTGTGGTGACCAAAAAGAGTGTTGACAAGAAGAAAGCTGAAAAAGCGAAGGCCAAAGATGCAAAGAAAGTTGGTACTATTAAAGCCAAGCCCACAACAGCAAAGGCAAAGTCAAGCGCAGCAAAGCCAAAAACTCCCAAACCTAAGACCACCAGTGCTAAGCCTAAGAAGGTTGTCGCGGCTGCGTCGCCAAAAAAAGCTGCTGCCAAGAAGCCAAAGGCAAAAACTGCGTCTGCAACAAAGAAGTAATTTCACATCGAAATATACTCTTCAGACAGAGTATGAACAAATTTCAAAACTATGAAATTTGCTATTAAACAAAGTCCTTTTCAGGACTACAATTTTATATATCCAAGAGAAAAAAAATATTTTTCTACCTGTATCTTTCTTGTTGCTGTTAAAAGTAATATAAAAAGAAACGGATCCTATTTAGTCAGCAGCAATATTTGAAATATATTCGATGTTAATTTCTGTTTTCGTCAAATAGTTTTTACGTGTCCAACTTTATCATAATAAAAACGTAGGAAATTGTAGTGGGATATTTGTGGAGTAACGATAATTTTATAGTTTTTCTTGAATAGCAAGCAAATATATTTGCTTCAGTAAGTTTTATACAATAAGAATTAAAGGTAATCTATTCAGAATCAGAATCAGAAATTTTGTTAGCATGGAAATATTTCATATTCTTTGAAAAAAGATTTGTGGCCCTGAAAAGGGCCTTTTGCTTTTGGGTGTTCTGCATACATCAAGCTAAGATTTACTTGGAGCTAGTGTACTTGGTAACTGCCTTTGTTCCTTCACTGACAGCGTACGCTCAAAAATGTCGTTCACAAAGCTATTCATGATGCTCATGGCCTTTGACGAGATTCCAGTGTCAGGATGGACCTGCTTTAGCACTTTGTAAATGTAGATGGCGTAGCTTTCCTTCCTCTTACGCTTCTTCTTCTTATCATTCTTGGTAATATTCTTCTGGGCTTTGCCAGCCTTTTTGGCTGCCTTTCCACTTGTCTTAGGCGGCATGATTGTTATTATTCACTCAAGTTCACTTTAACTCACTTCACAAATGTTTGACAGAAGCACACAAATTGCTTAACATTTATAGGTTTTTTTTGTACAACGTTTTCATGTTTGCGAACAGCACAACTCACCCTCGTTTACCTGAAAAAGTAGGTAGTGAAAAAAGTATAAGTTGTCATATTGTTGAGAGGGCTGGGCATTCGATACTTGTTTGTGCAGTGTTAAAGTGAAAAAAAAAAGAATTTAAGAAATGTCTGGCCGTGGTAAAGGTGGAAAAGTTAAGGGAAAGGCAAAGTCGCGTTCGAACCGCGCTGGCCTTCAGTTCCCCGTTGGTCGTATTCACCGTCTTCTTCGCAAAGGCAACTATGCCGAGCGTGTTGGTGCCGGTGCTCCAGTGTACTTGGCGGCTGTTATGGAATACTTGGCCGCTGAAGTTTTGGAGTTGGCTGGTAATGCAGCCCGCGATAACAAGAAAACCAGAATTATCCCTCGCCATCTGCAATTGGCCATCCGCAACGATGAGGAGTTGAATAAACTGCTTTCAGGCGTCACTATTGCCCAGGGCGGTGTGTTGCCTAACATCCAAGCAGTTTTGTTGCCCAAGAAGACCGAAAAGAAGGCTTAAATTACTAATAACGAATTTACGCAAATCGAAACCAAACGTCCTTTTCAGGACGACCAATTTATACAAAAGAGATGACTTTTTTCATACGTAAACATTCTAAATAATATGTATATAATAAGAATAAATAAAGGGAAAATTTACAGATGGTAGACGCTGAGAAAAGTACAGTCATCGCCATTCATTTAGTCATTTAGTGTTTCTGTTCCATATTCCAAAGGTTTCAAATATGTTGAGCTGAAATATTGCTAATATTGCTGATATGTAAACTATAAATTTGGCAATGTACCCTTGAAATACACGCGAGTTTTCACCGCAGCTTAGCTAAGATTTCTGTAACATCGAATTCTTATTCGAATATGAAATATGCACAATACTTCTTTTTGATAGCTTCAAATTTTTCATAAATGTCGAAACCAAATGGTTTAACTAGACGGAATTAATTCAATTTCTCGATCATTTCGTAGCCAATACTGAACATCAGCTAAATATATGCCCAATACCGATTTGGTTTGCGAAAAATGTATATTGAATTTTATATTTTCAAGCTCTTTTAGGGAAACATGATGGTGGTCCTGAAAAGGACCGATTGGTGCGAGTGTAAGTTGCTTTTTATACTTTCTTCTTTCCTAACCGCCAAAGCCGTACAGTGTGCGACCTTGCCTTTTCAGCGCATAGACAACATCCATGGCTGTGACTGTCTTCCTCTTGGCGTGTTCGGTGTATGTGACAGCATCACGAATAACATTTTCCAAAAAGACCTTAAGAACGCCACGAGTTTCTTCATAGATAAGTCCAGAGATTCGCTTCACGCCACCACGACGAGCTAAACGACGGATAGCTGGCTTCGTGATACCCTGGATATTATCACGCAACACTTTGCGATGACGCTTTGCACCTCCTTTACCCAAGCCTTTGCCACCTTTACCACGACCAGTCATTTTTCACTTTTTACTTTTTAATGAACACTTCACGAATGTCAGAAACAAACTAATGTCTGCATCGTTACATCCACTTCTATTTATACCGAGAAACCCGAAAACACGAGGGAGCACACAAATGCTTGCATCCCTCTCACACACTACCCTCTCAACTTGTAGAGTAGAGCGCATAGCATTTAACATGAGTAACGAATATGTCTATCTCTTTCTAACTCACCACCAGTTTTCTATATAAGCGATGCGTAAGCGAGCATCTCGATTATTGTGTTTTTAACAGTGACAGTGTAAAGTAAGAATTGTGAAAGAGAGAAAAAAATGGCTCGTACAAAGCAGACCGCTCGCAAATCAACTGGAGGCAAGGCTCCTCGCAAGCAGTTGGCCACTAAGGCAGCACGTAAAAGTGCACCAGCTACTGGCGGTGTCAAGAAACCTCATCGCTATCGCCCTGGCACTGTTGCTCTGCGTGAAATTCGTCGCTACCAGAAGAGCACTGAATTGCTTATTCGCAAGTTGCCGTTCCAGCGTCTAGTGCGTGAAATCGCTCAAGACTTCAAGACTGACCTTCGTTTCCAGAGCTCAGCTGTGATGGCACTCCAGGAAGCTAGCGAAGCCTATTTGGTTGGCCTATTCGAAGATACAAACTTGTGTGCCATCCATGCTAAGCGTGTCACAATCATGCCCAAGGACATTCAACTGGCCAGACGTATTCGCGGCGAGCGCGCTTAAATTTCTTCTCTCTGCCTTGTACATATACAAATCGCACCCAACAAATCGGTCCTTTTCAGGACCACAATATTTATAACAAGGAGATTCCTATTTTCGTTTAAACGACAATCATTTTGAATTTGAGTTGATATAAAAATAAAGGAAACGAGTATATAGGTTTATATTTACATAATAAAATGTAGGTTAGAGCAAATGTGTTTTATAATTGAAGGTACACGCGTTTATTTTCACTAACTAGTCCTAGTCCTAGTCAAGTAATTGAGCAAGGATCTCAATATATTTTTGTTAAAGGGAAACGTTTCTTGCTTAATAAAAAAATGTGTATTTTTAAAGCGAATATCGAATGTGAACGTATCTATCGTTAATGTGTGATACGTTTGATGTAACTTAAGATAATATATTTCTTTTCTGAGATTTTCCTTTTATTTTTATAAGCACTTCCTATTGAAGATAAAACTATATTAGTTTTTAAACATTTTAGCATTCTTCTTAATAAAATAAAGTGGCTTAGATGAAAAAATATTTTATCACTGTATTTCTTGGTGAGGGAGAAGTGTATATCGCATTATATATATAATATTACGATATGAAATGACTATATGTTTGATGCAAGTAAAGAAAATAAAACATTTTTCTTCTAATATTATCTTTATTAACATATATTTATTGTTAAGGAGAAGATTTTATTTTTACAAACCATTTTTGTATTGCGTTGCCTCGAATGCAAGTCTGCTTTCAACACCAAATGGGTTAGTTAAAATCGCATTTAAAAGATAAAGATATAAGGAATGTTCATATTAATAGTTGAATTTAACAAAAAAATTAATGAATTATTATCTGTCAACATAATTTGTTAACATTTTCATTATTATTTAATTAAAAATGCGATTTTTCCAAGATATCTTATTTTGCTATCATACAAAGTCAAACTTTAGATGGCAATTAAAAATCGTTAAATCATATTTAACAAACTGAAAACTTATTTTTTCAATTTTTCAAACATTTTGGAATATGTTCAACAAACTATTTAGTTTAAATTCCATGTATAAACTGTTTAAAAAGACAAATCAATAAAATGGTAATTGTAAACTTCTGTGTAACGAACGTTCAATAGCAAAAACATTCTCGCGTAGCCTTCCTCCTCGATTCTCACTGAAACGGGTGACCAAAATGCCATGCCGCAGCTGGCAAATTTCGATTAAACAAAAACGTTGCATTTGTTTTTATAGTGAAGAAGTAAAGAAGTGCTGAATAAAAATGTCTGATTCCGTTGTTGCAGTATCTGCGTCTCCCGTGACTCCCCAAACAGCCTCAGCTGAGAAGAAGGTAGCTGCTAAAAAGCCAGCATCCGCATCGAAGGCAAAGAAAACAACGGCTCCTCCAACACACCCACCAACTCAGCAGATGGTGGACGCATCGATACAAAATTTAAAGGAACGTGGTGGCTCATCCCTTTTGGCTATAAAGAAATATATCAGTGCCACTTACAAGTGCGATGCCCAAAAACTAGCCCCATTCATTAAGAAGTACCTGAAGAATTCAGTTGCGAATGGAAAGTTGATTCAAACAAAGGGCAAGGGTGCATCTGGTTCGTTTAAGTTGTCTGCATCTTCCAAAAAGGAGCCTAAGCCTAAGGTGTCCTCTGTAGAGAAGAAATCCAAGAAGGTAACTTCGTCGGCAGCAGCAGCTAAAAAGAAAACTATATCTGCTACCAAGAAACCAAAGGGTGTCGCTGATAAGAAGTTGTCGAAGGCTGTGGTGACCAAAAAGAGTGTTGACAAGAAGAAAGCTGAAAAAGCGAAGGCCAAAGATGCAAAGAAAGTTGGTACTATTAAAGCCAAGCCCACAACAGCAAAGGCAAAGTCAAGCGCAGCAAAGCCAAAAACTCCCAAACCTAAGACCACCAGTGCTAAGCCTAAGAAGGTTGTCGCGGCTGCGTCGCCAAAAAAAGCTGCTGCCAAGAAGCCAAAGGCAAAAACTGCGTCTGCAACAAAGAAGTAATTTCACATCGAAATATACTCTTCAGACAGAGTATGAATAAATTTCAAAACTATGAAATTTGCTATTAAACAAAGTCCTTTTCAGGACTACAATTTTATATATCCAAGAGAAAAAATATTTTTCTACCTGTATCTTTCTTGTTGCTGTTAAAAGTAATATAAAAAGAAACGGATCCTATTTAGTCAGCAGCAATATTTGAAATATATTCGATGTTAATTTCTGTTTTCGTCAAATAGTTTTTACGTGTCCAACTTTATCATAATAAAAACGTAGGAAATTGTAGTGGGATATTTGTGGAGTAACGATAATTTTATAGTTTTTCTTGAATAGCAAGCAAATATATTTGCTTCAGTAAGTTTTATACAATAAGAATTAAAGGTAATCTATTCAGAATCAGAATCAGAAATTTTGTTAGCATGGAAATATTTCATATTCTTTGAAAAAAGATTTGTGGCCCTGAAAAGGGCCTTTTGCTTTTGGGTGTTCTGCATACATCAAGCTAAGATTTACTTGGAGCTAGTGTACTTGGTAACTGCCTTTGTTCCTTCACTGACAGCGTGCTTGGCCAACTCTCCGGGCAACAGAAGACGGACTGCAGTTTGGATTTCCCGACTGGTAATCGTAGAACGTTTGTTGTAGTGGGCCAAACGAGAGGCTTCAGCAGCAATACGCTCAAAAATGTCGTTCACAAAGCTATTCATGATGCTCATGGCCTTTGACGAGATTCCAGTGTCAGGATGGACCTGCTTTAGCAC